CCGGCACTGGCCGCCGCTCCGGCACCTGCCAAGTGCCCACCCTCCCATCGTGGTGCAGACCAGCCCGACAGCTGAGTGGGGGTGTGACTGCTGAAGGGGGGCCGTGCCCCCTGCAGCCCTGGCCAGGGCCCCACGAGGGCGTCACCCTCCCCACGGCTGCTCTCGCGTGGTCCCCCGGGTCCCTGGGACAAAGAAGGGTGCAGTAAGAACCAGGGCGGGTGCGCATCCCCGCTCTGACTCGGAGCTGTGTGAGGGAGGCGGCCGCTTCACCTCGCCCTTTTCTCCCCAAGGCGGCAGCTGGCCGGGCCCGTGCTGCCCCCCGGCCTCCCCTGGTCCTGCTCTCCTCTTTCTAGGATCGGCCCCTGGAACACCTTCTTCCTCCCGGCCTCCCCTGACCCCGCCCAGACGCCCCCTTCGCCCCTTTCCTAGAGTCGCTGCCCCCAGGAGTACTGAGGGGGTGGCCCAGTCACAGCGGCCCAGGCCTGGAGCACAGCCTGGCCCGGGCAGTCCCGCGCAGATGACTGACTGCTAGACGCAGGCACGAGGCAGCACGCAGCGGTGTCGCTCTGCGGCCGCCGGGGAGGACCCCACCTCCCCCCAGTCTCCGCGTGTCACAGCTAAGGAAAAGCCAGCCTGCTGGGTCGGGGTACCGAGCCCCTGTGCTGTGCCCAAGCGTGACGTGCTTGGCTGCATGGCGAGAGCCAGCCTGGGAGTGCCCGGGGCAGGGCACGCCCCTGGACGGAGCTGGAGGGCACACCTGGCCCCAGCCCCCGACCCCTCTGACTGCTCTCTGCTGGGTGGGCCTTGGGCAAGTGTTGTAACCTCTCTGGGGTGAGAACCGTGGACCCCGCTAGTTGTTGGGCTTGTCTTTTCTGACCGTGTGCTCTGGAACCATGGAAGTAATCAAGGAAGAGGTTACGGGGCCCACTTTTGGACGGACCTGAGCTAACACTGCATAGGTCACCTGATCTCAGCAAGTGATGTTCGTATCTCCTGGGAACAGTGTCAGTTCAGAGCCAGTGTCCCTGAGTGATGTGCTTGGCCCCTCTCGGAGGGCACAGTCACCCTGGGAAGAAACCCCTCGGGAAGGCTGGGGGAAGGGCGAGCAACCATACATTTTTAGCAGAGCAGCGGGGTCTGGCCTCAAGGGGACCTGGCCTCCCTTTCATTCAGGGGAGATGCCTCTGGGAGGGGCGGAGGCCAGAGCCTCCTGCGAGACTGCAGGACTGTCCTTAAAGACATGGCCTCGGGGTCATGACGGCCACTCTTTGCCTCCGTCTCCCCTTTGCGTCCAGGAAGAGGTTGAATCCGGGCCCCTCTTCCTGGCAAGTGACCCCAAGCCAGCGCCTCTGCCTCTCTGCCCCAGTTTCCTTGTCCACAGAAAGAGGGTAAGGTCCCCATCCCCTTACCCACTGGCGGGAACGGGAAATGGTGCAGCTGGAGCGTGGAACGGTCTGGCAGCTCCTGGACAGGTTAGAGTGACCACGTGACTCCACGGATGTCTACCCACGAGAACCGAAAACACACGTCCACACAAACGCCTGTACACGCATGTTCACAGCACAGTCATCCACGCAGCTCAAGGGTGAAAGTGCCCAGGTGTCCATCGTGGGTGATGGATACACAGCGTGGTCGTGCACACGCTGGAATATTATTCAGCCTTAAAAAGGAACAAGGTTTCAATCCCGGCTTCAATGTAGATGAACCCGGCGAATGCCATGCCAAGTGAAGAGAGTCATGGACAGAAAAACACTGTGTGGTTTCGCTCATGTGAAACGTCCAGAATGGGCAAATCCATAGAGAAAGAAAATAGCTTAGCGGTTGCCAAGGCTGGCGGAGGGGCAGGAGTGACTGCCAGTGGGTACCAGGTTTCTCTTTGGGGTGATGAGAATGTTCTAGAACAAGACGGTGGTGATGGTTGCACAACCTCGTGAACACACTACGAACCACTGGCGGCGTGCACACTTTAAAAGGGTGAATTTTCTGATACATGAACTATATATATATTTTTAAAAACAAGGTTCCTGCTGAGTAGGGCTGACGTAGGACACGAGATGCCCACCAGCCCGCAGCACCACAGCCTCCGCCAATGGGGCCACCTCCTCCAATACCAGGACCTGGTCCTGGCTCCCTCGCCCCGTCCAGCCACGGCCGTGGCAATTCCCCACTGACCACCCCCCGGGCCCCGCCCCTAGCCAGGAGCCCAGCGAGAGCCGGTTCTGCAGCGTCCCCAGAGGGCAGCGCCCGGCCGGCCACATGCAGGGCCTGGAGAAGCAGTCCCCGTTTACACACGGCCACCTTGGCCCGGCCACCCCGGAGGAATTCAGAAAATGCAATGGTCACATTCTGCAGGGCGGCGGGCCGGGCCTTTGGAAAGACTCAAGGGCCGCTCATGAATGTGGATTCTGTTTAGCTGCTGGCTGGGACGCCCGCCTGCGAGCAGCCCAGAGTCGGGACAGAGGCTGTTAGCAGACAGCCGGCCGCTGGCTCCCGCCTGCCTGCCCGCCAGGGGGCTGGAGACGGCGAAGCAAGCTGCTCTGGTCCCGGGTCCCTGTCCCGTCCACCTGCCCTCACCTGTATGGTCCCTCCCCCCTCCACTGGCTGCTGACTCTGGCTACAGGTGGGTGGCCGAGCCCAGGACAGGCAGCTGCGTAAGGACGCACCTTGAAGGCCACCTCCCCTTGGCCCTCTCTGTGATGCAAACTGGGCCCCCCAGGGGGCCACTGCCTAGTTATGGCCTCTGGGGAGGCTGAGCGGGCCTTGACCCGGGGCTCTGAGTTCCCCCCAAACCCATTTTTCACTCGAGTGACCCCCACCCCTGTGTGGGGGGGTGAGAGCTGTGGGTGTGAGGACCCCCTGGGGGAGGCAAGGACAGCTCTGCTGCCAGCTCCTGGGCGGCAGGCCGTGGTCCCCTCTTGCTTCTACCTCTGGGTGATGGGGAAGACGGGGCGGGGAGGGGGCCTGGGACGACGGTGTCGAGATGTGGCAGGTAAGCCCCCAGGGTCCCCCAGACTAGCCCCGCATTTTGGAGGGAGCCCCCCTCCATCCTCAGGCTCTCCCCACGCTCATAAAAGGAGCTTATATTTGGAACTGTCCTTCAAAACGCCAGCTTTGTTTAGACAAGGATGTAATTCTAAGAGACCACTTCAATCCTGACAAGAACTGGGGTGAGTAATGAGCAGAAAACCTCTAGTTTGACGCCGGGGTCACGGCCCCCAAAGTCCTGCCAGTGCAGTCACTGATCTCAGTTTCTGGTCACTGGGAGCCAGGACGCGCGACTGCAGGCCGGCCGTGCGCAGGGACGGGGCCACGGGCGCTAAAGACCAGCTGGAGGAACTCACAGCGCAGGCCACAGCCAGGCCCGGCCCCCACCTGCCACCCTGCCTCCTACCCTTCCCCAAGTTGGCCTGGCAGAGCCAGTCCAAGGGGGGCACCTGCAGGAGTGACGTGGACCCATAAGAAGGCTGAGGGGCCGAAGCGCTTGAAAGCACCCGAGGAAGGAGGGAATCCCAAGTCTGAAATGACAGAGGCTTCGGCCCTGATGCAGGGCAGCTTCCAGGGTGCACACGCGACGGCACCGTGTGCGCAGTCCTCGCGAGCAAAGAAAGCAGTCCGTGCAGGGCATACACGTCTATGGTGGGGCCGCCACTCATGCTTCCAGGACCTTTGGGTGTGTAGGACAAGGCACCCCCAGGGTGGACACAGCCTGGGTGTGCGGAGGGAGGCCTGCTGAGCAGAGGACAGGCTCGGCACCCTTGTGCACTGAACAACCTGCCCAACCATACAGTCTTACTTTTCTTTCCACCCGGGGAGATGGTGGGGCTGAGGGAAGTACAAGATTGCAATCAGCCCCTGAAGACGGCGTCTGCCACCCCAGCTATGGCCACCAGGTGAAAGGTGAGGATAAACTAGCCCCAGGCAATCGCAAGGATGTCTCACAGAGCTCACCCCGTCCCCACCCCCCTCCCTCCACTAGGCTCAGTTCAGGCCCCAATTCCATCGGAGAACGGGGTTGGCAATAGAAATCCTGAGAGTCCCCCAGCCGGGGGGTGCTGATGCACTGCACGGCTTGGCGGGGACAGAGCTCTGAGCACGGCATCATCTTGCTGTTCACGGGGGACAGTCTAGCGGGGGATGGGCAGGCCCACAGGTGATGACAGGTGGGGTGCCAGAAAGACTGCGGGCGGAACAGGGGAAGGGGTGTCCTGATGGGGAAGGTGGGACGGTGGAGATGGGGGACAGGACGCCAGGTGTCCAGGCCGCGAGGTGGGAAGCAGGAGCCAGCATCCTGGATGCTGAATGGACCAGGAGGGTGTCCGGGAGAGGATGGGCTGGACCGTGGCTGCCTTGAATGCTGGGCTCCAGCTCCAGCTCTGTCTGCAGCGGGCAGGAGAGTGGGCTGGTCACGCGCTTTCCCAGCTCTCTTCCCCACCACGTATCTACAGTGAACCAAAGCCAAGGTGGGCAGGCCAGCGGGGGTGGGCTGCTTCCACACTGCCCGGGGCCCACCGGGACCCAGGCTGCATCCTGCCTTGGCTGCACGACGCTTCCCTACAACCTCCCTCTGTCCTGGACTTGCAGCTGGCACCTCGCACCCTTTCAAGTATTTTGCATCTTCCACACCCCTCCCACCGACCCCTCGGCGTCTCCGTGACCCCGAGGGCAGTAACCACGCAGCATCTACCCACTCGACGTGCTCGCCTGTGCCCGGCGCTCTGTCCCTCAGCCTGTCCCATGACGCCCTGCGAAGTCCCCCACTGTCCTGGTGACTTGCCCACACAGCCCGTGGACAGCTGTTTCTGCAGCCTGCGCTCTGGATCTGCACTGCCTCCCCCCCCACTCTCAGCCCCTCCTTTTGGACGAGGAAGCAGAGGGTAACTGAATTCTTACAGTCAGAACCAACAGGGGTGGGGTGGGGCTTGGCGCGGAAGTCTCAGGGCTCTGGAGGAAGCAGAAGTGTGAGCCCATGTCCAGGAGCACATGTGTCTTTGGCACCATCAATGGTTGCAAGGTTCCAGAAGAAAGGAGGTGAGGGCAGGTCTCTGTTTCCCGGCCACCCTGGTGCTCACAAATGTGAAGCCAGGTGGAGACCCGCTGACCTTCTCCCAGGGAGGGAGGCGGGAAGGTGCCTGGCCTGGAAGTTAAGTTGGAAAAGGCGCAGGCCTTGAAAAGAGGCAGCTAAAAGGGGACATAATCTCTCTATTGACATTCTGCAGAGGCAACCGTGTGTGAGAGTGAACCCAAGCGTGCTGCCCCCGGATGACAGGACTGGAGTTGACAGAAACCACAGGTAGGAGGCTTTCTGCTCTACTTGCAGCAGAGCTTTCTTGGAACCCTTCGGCAGATTTCGGGGGTGGGACCTGGCTGCTGTGACAGGAGTGAGTTCCCCGTCGCCGGGGGTATTCAAGCAGAGTCGGTAACCCAGAAGCAGGGTCTGGTGGAGACCGAAGCCCAGATGAGGGGGTTGAAGTTCATGACCTCTAAGTTCCCGCTGACCCTGAAATCCTGGGACTTGCTGCTTCCACACTGCCCGGGGTGGCAGCCAGCCAGGGGTTCGGGTGCGGGGCCACACATCCTTCACCAGGCTGAGACGCTGTGCTTCCCAGGCTGAGACGCTGTAGGGGCCACGGTCCCCCTTGAGATGGCCTGGCCTTCCTATTTTCTTCAAACAGGATTCCCCCTCTTCCTCTTCACAGGGAGGCTCCTGGCAGGCTCTGCCCCGTGGTTCTGGACCTGCCAGGCCGGGCACAAGGTACACGAGGGCATGCCCTCCCAGGCCACTTTCTCAGAGGTGGCCCTGGCTGTCCTTCCTTAAGCTGTAACTCCGCCCCACCTCCCCCCACCACCCCCGCAGCTCCCTGTCTGATACTGTCCCCGGCATTTTGCCTGTTACCTCGCCTGTTATCAGGAAGGCAGTGGTCTTTGCTGGGTCAGGGGATGCCTGGGACATTGTGGAGCACTGAGAGGGCTCAATGCACATTTGCTCAACCAAGAGGCAGACGTGGAGTCTATCTGATGGAATGGAGAGGGGCTATCAGCCACTGCTGCTCACTAGCTGTGCTGCGCGGGCCCAGTTACCTGACCTCTCTGGCCCTCAGTTTCTTCATCTAGAATATGGGGCACCACCTAGCTCATGATACGAGGATCAACGCAGTAACACGTGGCACAGTCCCTACACAGCAAACAGTGTCTGCTCAAGCGCCAGCCCGGAAAGGGTTAAAGGCCTCGGCAGCTGCCACGGCGCAGGAGCCCCCCACCGCCACCGCTGCACCCAGAGGCCTGTCCCTCCGACCCCGCTGCCCTCACCCCCAGCCCCCGGCGGACGGTGCAGGGGCAGGGTCTGGTGGCCGCGGGAAGTCCCCACGAGCCCGGCTGGCCTTCCCTTCCGGCCGCCGCCGTGCGGCGCCGCGTCCCCACGGGTCCCTCTGGCCCGGTTCCCTCGGCGCGCCAAGCCAGCCAGGGGCGCGGGCCGGGCTGGGGCGCCGCGTGGCCTCCCCCCGCAGGAGCACAGCGGCGCGGAGCCCCCCGGTCGGAAAGACCCCACCCCGCTCCGCGCGCTGCCTCCGCCGCAGTGTCCGAGTGCCACGGGGCCAGCACGCCCAGGGGCGACCCAGAGGAGGCAGCGGCCCGGCTCGGGGACCAGCTGCTGCGATCCGAAATGAATGGCCGGCCCACGGCCGCTCGCGCCCCCCGCCCGGCCCCCGCTCCCCGCAGTCCGGCCCGGCGGCTCCCAGCTCCCCGGAACCCACCGCTCGGCGGCCACTTGGGCTGCACTTTGCAAAGTGTCCCGCGGAGCTGGCCCAAGCTCTGTCAGGGGCGCCGGACAGGGCTGAGGCCAGGCGGCACGGCCGCGGCCCCCGCCGAGCCCCCGGCGCGCCCTGGCGTCTGCGGCGCTGCACGTCCCGGGCGGGGAGCGAGGTCGGGGCAGCCGAGCCGCGGAGCAGCGAGGGCCGGGAGGGTCCGTCCGGCCCCGCCGGGGCGCGCCACCGAGGGTGCGGGGACGCGGCGGGGAGCGGGCAGCCAGGTGACCCCGGGGACCGAGCCCCGAGTCCCTCCACAGCCGCCCGAGCTAGTGCCGCCGCCCGGGAGCCGCGGGCGGCGCGGGGCGCGGCGCGTCCACACTCACCTCCCGCTCCGAGGGCCCCGCGCCGCTCGCCGCGCTGGCGGATGCGAACGAGCTCCCAGAACGGCAGCGGCGGCTGCCGGCGCCCGGCCCGCGCGCAGCGCTCTGCGGCGCGGAGGCGCAGTCCTCATCCCTGACCGCAGGCCCGCCCGGGCCGCGCAGCGCTCTGCCCCTCCGGGGCGGGGTGGGGAAAGGAGGAAAGCAACCTCCACCCGCTTCCCAGGTCGGGCCGCGCGGGCCAAGTCCTCTCCAAACAAGCTCCCAGCAGCCGGCTGGGTGCTCCGGCGGGCCGCGGGGTCTGCCCCCAGGCACCGGCGGCGGCTTCAGTTACAAACTTTGCTTCCCCCCCCGCCCCCCCCGCTATTTTTAAGCACCGCTCTTCCTAGGTGTTTGTTTCAGGGGGATCCACCCTAGTGACGGGGGTCCTGATGGGAAAGGTACGTAAGCCAGCAAACCCTGCCCAGGCCCACTGCCAGCGCACCCCAAAACTGGCAGGGCTTGCTGCTGCTCAGAGGCAAAGGCTGGATTTAGCACGACTTCCCAAACTGGTGGCGTGAGTGCACCCATGTGCTTTCCAATCGCTCCCCTATCTCCATCCCCGCCCGGCCCTCTCACCAGCCCTCACCTGGTAAGGGCCCGGGTAAACATTTCCCCCTGTGCCTCTGGTGGGGAGGATGAGTGTGGGGGGGGGCGCACACCACTGTCGCTTTGCACCTGCTTGGGGAACTTCAGCTGGAGGTCTCCGCATGCCTTGAGGTGGGAGTTGATGGTCCCTAAAATCATAGTGCCTTTGCTCTGGGCACCCCCAGTCCAGCCTCTGGCCTGTGCCAGACTGGAACACAGATGGTGGGGAGCTGGAACCATGCAGGTCCCTAGAGCCGGAGGGACCCTAACAGGTCAGCCGCTCAGTGGTTCATTCACAAATGAGGCCAGAGAAGGCAAGGGATCTGCCCAAAGCCACACAGCCCAGTGAGTGTGACACAGGCTATCCTGGGGCAAGCAGGAGCGAGAGGCCGGTCCCTGGTGTGGACATGTGGGTCCTTCAAGGTCAGGGGGCAGCCCTCATGGGAGGCGTCCACCAACAGATGCTGCCCTTCCCCACTTTAGACAAACCAAGGCACGGGCTTAGGGCACTTCTGAGAAGTGAAATTGAGGGGAACGCTTCACTTTGCAGAATGGCATCCTTTCAGAACTAGTCGTTTGAACCACGTTCCCCCTGAGGGTGCTGCCAGCGCTGCTCGGACTACAAAGTTCAAGTTTCACACCCTCTTAGGAACACCTTTATTATGTAAAGCAAGGTATAGGTAACACAGGGCCTCTGGCCCAGAATCCTGCACACGGGTGTGGAGATGAGTGAATGGGCCGCCCGGTCCGCCTGTGGCCTATGGTTTTGCATCAGTGGTCGAGCGCTGGGCTCTGCACGTACAATTCATAATCCGCTAAAGCACACCGCGGATCAAAGCTGATTTTCCTACGGCTGCTCGTTACAGCATCTGAGGAGGCTCCAGAAATTCCTGCCAGTTGTCTTGAAAACTTGAATTGAACAAGAGGCTAGGGGCTCAGAGGCCCCGCCTCCTGGCCCTGCCGGTGCTCAGGGGCTCCGAGCCTCAGCTCACATTTCCGCGGCATCATTCTGGACCTCAGGGTCCTGGGATCGCCCGCTCCATGGAAAGCGGCACAGGAAGGGGCTAAGAAACCCCCTCCAGTTAATCGGTATTTCAATCAGTTGGTTTCCTAAAGTTTCTAATGCCGGGGGTCCCCTGGCTCAGACAAAGTTCCCAGAAGGTATTTCCTTCCGGATCCTTCCTAATGGGTCTATTCTTGTTTCTAAGAAAGGCCACAGTTTCAGAGCTCACCCGTGTGTGTGTGTGTGTGTGTGTGTGTGTGTGTGTGTGTCCAGCGTGGTACACCCGCGCACCCCTTGTGTGAGAAGCGCGCTCCCTCACGAGTGTGCAGAAGCGACAGAGGCCCGCACGCCGTGCCACCGCTGTGGCCACAGTCCCAAGAGCTGACGCACAGGTGCTGCGCGAGTGAGTGAGCCTGACTACCCTAGGAGGTAGCCTGCTACCCTCCCCATCTCACAGGGGGGCTGAGAACACGCCCAAGGCCACGCGGCACGCCTCTCCTGCTCCAGGGCCACCAGCCCTCCAGGTTGGCGACTCTGGACAGCCCCCAAGCCCCTGCCCCAATCCTCCAAGCGCACCTGCTTGGGCGTGAAACCCAGCGCTTCTCAGTCGGGGGGCTGCTATGACATCCATCAGGCAGACACCAGAGATGTTACTGAACCTCCTGCGAAGCTCAGGTCGGCCCCCAAACGAAGGATTATTGGGCGGTACCGAGGGTGAAAACCCCGGGGCCAGCGGCCTCCAGGTGGTTGGTGACCTAGGCCTCTGGGTCCCAGAGCCTTCTCTCCCTCCTCACTGTCCCCTCAGCTGGACGTGGAGCTGCAGCCCCCTGGCCAGGAAGAGCTGCCCGACAGGACACCCCCGTGGGGCTCTGCGGAGGGGGCGTGGCCGGCAGGGTCTCCTCCATGGGAGGCCCAGTTTCTGCCTTGAGAAGCAAGAGCTGGAAGGTTCCCAGCTGTGCTAAGCCTCCACTCTCCAAGAGGAGGCAACCTCGCAGGGGTGCTGACCCGATTTGCCCGAAGTCACAGACACGGAGCCCGGCTCTCCCACTGCCCGTCTGTCCCCTCGCTGCCTGCCACTGGCCACCCCCAAGGGGCAGAGGCTCCCTGGCCCCCCCCCCCACCCGTGTGCTGGGCGAGCCAGTCAGCTCCTGAGTCATCCCCTAACTTCTGCCTGATGTCAAAATGAAACCGCGGACCCAAAGCCAGAGCAGGGGCGGGAGGAGTGAAACCTCCAGCAAATTCCAGGGGTACAGTGTCACGTGGCTGTTCCAGCTTGGCACTGACAGCGCCTGGCATGTGGACACCCATCCGTCCAGGCAGCCTCCCACCTCGAAAGTGATGCCCGCCCCTGCCCTGAGGGTGGGTCCTCTCCAGTGGGATCCCCAAGGACGAGACCCTCGTCCCTGGGAGATGAGACCTCAGACCCCGGACCAGGCCTGTGGCTGTGACGTGCCGGGTCGGGTGTTTCAACCCTCCTGGAGTTTTCCCAGCAAGCGTCACCTGCCATCTTGGGCTCCTTGGCCCCCTTTGCTGGATGGGGAGGCTGAGGCTGGAGGAAGCAGGGGGCCCACCTAAGGACGCAGGAGTTCATGGTAGAGACTGTCCCATCGCTGACTACCTCTGCCTGCCGCTGGCCTCCTGGCCGAGTCCAGGGTGAGGGCATGGTGGCAGGTGGCCGCCTGAGCCCTGGGAGCCCGCTGCCGGCCTCACAGAGATGCCTTCTGGGCGCCCCTCACTTCTTCAGGGGTCCTGCTGGTTAACAGGGGAGTGTGGATTCGGTGGCTCTGGGGCCCCGTCCCATGAAGAGCCTCTTCGGCACGGACGCAGCAAACATCGACGTACATGGAACCCAAGACCTGCCGAGGAAGGTGTGTCCTGTGCACCGTCCCTGTGGGCTCCAAGGAACCCACGTTAGGGACATAATGTTGGCAGAATTTGCTAAATAGTCCGTGAACGCAGGGAGGCTGGCACAGGCAGGCCTGGCCTCTGTCCCCCGCTGCGCCCTGCCAGCTGTGTGTCCTTGCGCAAGTCAGCA